GAAAAGTAATTGAAAAAATATTTGAAGGTGCAGAAATGAATAGATTAACATTAGAAATTGAGGAAAAAGAAGAATCTGAATATTACATGGCATGGGATTTGTTTTACCAATGGGTAGAAAAATAAACTAAACTAAAAGGAACTAGATGCATTTATAAAGCAATAATTGACTGTTTCCTAGTATGATCTGATTGCTTATTGTACCCTACGACTATTATTAAGTGTTGTACCTGATGATTCTTGACTCTTGACGAATGTATCTTTTCTTTTATGTACACCGAGAGCATTTGCATCAAGACAAATTCCTTGTGTGTCCAATCAGACTTGGCCAATAAAGACTTCTATAAGAGAAACTAGCGTAATAAATATATTGGATATCATATGTGTGTGTGTGTGTGTGTGTGTGTGTGTGTGATTATTGTTATGTTGATATACTGATAAAAAGAATATTATTACTAATTGTTAAGCAATTGAAATATGTACCTAATCAGCACACGATTGAAATGGAATGGATTTATTGTATATAAAAATAAAAAATTAATTAAAAAAACAAAACACAAGACCCACCAGAAGAGAAGACCCTCACTTGATGCGACACAAACCTACCCATCAGAAATCCCATCGTAAGACCCTCGCCCTCATGTGACCTCCCAAACACAAGACCTACTGATCACACAAAGCTCTTACAAGCAGAAGAACACCAAGACTAACCTCCCCTAAGCTCCACTGAAGATGCTACCTAGGCCGGTAACAAAATGAAACCCTCCACCCTCAATAAATCAATATCGCTAAACCTGCATGTGCGGACCTGAATTTTCATCATCATTTTGACTAGTCTTTCCCTGGTGGTCACACATCTTCTGAACCTTGGTCCTAGTCCAGTTTCACTTTACAAAGACTTCACCTTGATCAGAGGCTACTGGAGCCAGAGACTGACCCAAGAGGGGCTACGGGCACCTTGGACTATCTCGTCGGTTATGTTCAAAATAACAAAATTTCTGAATTACCTTGCTGGCACGATATTGGTACAATGGAGGAAATTCTATTTCAGTTTTAAAACCCTGCCCAATGGAGCTAATGAGAGAAGATATGTTGACCACAACTGCCGTGTGGCCTCCCATGTTTTCTTTTGTGCTCTCCTTGGCAGCCTTCTTCAGGAGAGGCAGGAATTCCTAAAACAGATAGGAAACAGTAGAGCGAAATGTTACATTTCTCTTCTTCCTGGGTCTCACTGAGATCCTTGTTTTATTCTCACTGGCTTTTTTGATTTCCCAAGTCATGGCTTTTTCTTGGTGCCATTTCTAATCCCATTGGGTCATGGTGGACCTTCTTGGACTACCTATGCAGCCCCCTGGCCCCTACACCAAACTTACCTTGACAACAAGGAGAGGTCCCACTGTATTGATCTTGTATGACAATAACATATCTTCCTGATCGACGTTTTCCAGAAAAAAGGCTTGGGAATTTCTGCCAGCGTTGTTGATTAGCAGATTGAGCCCTTGTCCTTTCAGATGGGATTCCACTTCTGATGCAGCCTGCTTTATACTGGCAAGGTCTGTCACATCTACCACAAACAGAAGGAAGCTAACAGGGGCAGGGATCAGTAAAAATGACTTGGTTCCTAGTTTGATGCATGCAGGTAACGTGTAGTGGAAAAGAAAAGACTTTTGGAGACAGGGGGGAAAACCCTGCGGCCTAGATAATGATCTCAGAAATGAAATTTGCCCACCTAGCAGTTGGAAAGCATGCAAATAGATAAATAGGTACAGGGATGGGATTCAAATTTTTTAACAACCAGTTATGTGGGTGTGGCTAGGTGGGCATGGCCATGTGACTGGGTGAGCATGGCGTCTTCTTCTTTTTTTGCAGCACCCCCCCTGCACTCCATTTTTGGGCATCCTGAGCCTCAGGGAAGCCTTCTAGGGAGGCATTTTTGATCCCAGGATGCTTCCCTGGGGCTCAGCAAGGCAAAAAATGGAGTGCAGGAGTGTGTGTGTGCACAGGGGGTCCTCCTGGGCCTCCGGGAAGCCTCCGGGGGAGCATTGGTAGGGTAGGGTAGGGTAGGGTAGGGTAGAGTAGAGTAGAGTAGAGTAGAGTGGACAAGAGTGGACAAGAGTAGACTAGAGTAGTAGAGTAAAATAGAGTAGAAGAATAGAATAGGATAGGATAGGATAGGATAGGATAGAATAGGATAGGATAGGATAGGATAGGATAGGATAGGATAGGATAGGATAGGATAGGAGTAGACTGGAACCATGATAACAGAACAGAATAATTTGGCCAAGTGTGATTAGACACACAAGGAATTTGTCTCTGGTGCAGAAGGTCTCAATGTACACGCAAAGCAACAGAGTAATAATAATCATAATATGATGCCAGTAAGAGGTGGTAGTAAAGAAGGTGAAAGGATAATAGTAATAATTCTACAACCACACAACATGGGTAAGTATCCTTAGACATAAGACAATACTGTAGGAAAAAACTGTCCCCGTGTCTAGTTGTTTTGGCATGGAATGATATTTAGTGGCATCCAGAGGGGAGCAGTTGAAAATGTCCAGGATGTGAGGGGTCGGTAGATAGTTTCTCAGCCCTCTTTCTGACCCCTGCTGTATACAGGTCCTCAATGGAAGGCAGGCAGGTGGTATTTTCTGCAGTTCTAACTATCTGTTGGAATATCTGCTCTGTTTGGTTGCTGTACCAAGTCGGACATTTTTTGTGAGATAGTATAGACAAAAAGCACAACAGGACAACAGGCAATCCTCAACTTTTAACTGCAATTGACCCCAACATTTCCATGGCTAAGCCAGACAGTTGTTAAGGGAAGTTAGCCCCGTTTTATGACCTTTCTTGTTTTAGTGAATCACTAAAACTGTTAAGTTAGGAACAGTTCTTAAATGAACCTGATTTCCCCATTGACTTTGCTTGTCAGAAAGTCAAAAAAAAGGTGATCCCATGACCCTGGCACACTGCAACCGTCATAAATACATGCCAGTTGCCAAGTGTCCGAATTTTGATCACATGACTGAGAGGATGCTGCCATGGTCGTAAGTGTGAAAACGGTCATAAGTCATAAGAGGATTAGCCGTAGTGGCACTATCTACTGTAAGGCTATATTAACAGAATCTTGGAAATGTGGAATTATGCTAAACAAGGACAAATCTTAGGAAGATTTGCTCCATTTAAAAAAATCACTCACCTGTTCAACTGATAGGGCTACATTTGTTACTAGAGAAATGAGCATTAAAAAATCCCCAAACTGACAATTACACTTGACTTTTTATATACTCATGCAATTTATGATGATAGATATGGTCATGTTTCGTGGCTTTCATTATAATTACCCAAAGAGTAAACATCCCATACCTAACTGAACCACGTGAATGTTGTCATGCTGACTAGCAAAATTCTGCAAAGCCTGCAATTGAGAAAGGAAATGGTAAAAAGAACAGGTCGAATAAATAAAATATAAAAAAGCATCTTCTCTGCAACCTCAGTTCCAATATAGCAGATTTTCTTTTTATAGCCTTTAAATCCCTTTTATTTGGGTTGTAGTCAGAGAGACTGAGTAGAGCTAAGCATTTACTGGCTGTATGCCCTTTCTGATGCCTACACTGAGTTCACAACAAATATTTTAGCTTTCTGCCCTGATATCTGACATCTGCTGCAGGGATTGAACTCTCAACCTTCCGAGTAGGAGGCAAGCATCTTCACCTCTAACCCACCACACCATTCTTCAATTCCTCTACAGCAGAATATCTCAATGGATTTGTTTTTATCAGCAGCTATTATAATTTGCAGACTGTATTTTCTTAACTAGAACTAGCTGTTCATATACTTTTTTTTGTTTATATTATATTATTTTTTGTTTATATGTTGGTATTGTTGTTCTTTGTGTTAAATTCATTTAAAACAATCCGGGTGGTGCATAAACCAGGTGAGATTTCTGGTTCGGTATGTCTTAGCATGACATAGCCAAGTCACGTTGCATTATTCAGTGGATTGTGATTCAAAAAATCCTGGCTTAATCTTTTGTCTCAAATGCCTCAGGTCATTGATGCCTGCAGTGGAAGCCCACATCAGTACATTGCCCCAGCTTGAATCTTAAAGATGTTGAATTACAGTTGATCTTCTACATACCTTTGATTCAGGTCCACGAGGGTTCATACAAGTTGCAAAAATATGGCCCGGAAAAGGATTCGTTTTCACCAGCTCTTTCACCAGTCCAAATCCAATTCCCTGGCTGGTGCCCGTCACCAGGATATTCTGAGCTGTTTGAAACATCCTGACCGTTGACTTTTGCTCTTCAACCCTGTTCACCTTTGGGCAGGTGGTGACACCTGCATCTCCGAATAAGAAGAGGTTACCATTATTAGACTAGCCTGAAGTGGATTCTCCTGGAAGTATAAATACAATAACAGAGAATCCTTGACTTACAACTGGAATTGGAACCAGAATTTCCATTGCTAAGCAAGGCGGTTGTTAAAGAGAGTTGACCCTGGTTGTCTGACCTTTTGTGCCATGGTTGTTAAGTGAATCACATAGTCATTAATGGAATCTGGCTTCCTCCATTGACTTTGTCAGAAGCTGGTTGGGAAGGTCTAAAAATGGCCATCACGTGACTCTGGGTGGATGCAACTATCGTCAGTTGTACAAAAGCCCAAATTTTGATCATGTGATCATGCTATGACAGTCATTAAGTGTGAGGACCAGTTTCCCCTGGCACAAAACCATTAAGGAGCGAAGAACATGGTGACTGCACACTGTACATTTTATTTGATGTGTATGGCTATGTAGCCATTTCTGCTACCGATCTATAGGGCGATATAATAATCCTCCACTATCCTTTTTACAGAATAAAGCAGAATTTCTAACACCTACGTTACGTACTGTATCTATAGGCTTCATTGTTGCGGTTTCATGGGTGTGTATGCTCTTCCTGTCTATGTTAGAAAGCTAGACCAAGACATAACTAGGATTAAATTAAGCTAAACCTAGGACATGTATAAGAATGTTTACAGGATTTGGGTTTGACTAGTCTAGAGAAAACAAGGACTCGGCGTGACGTGATGGCAGTATTCCAGTATTTGAGGGGCTGCCACAAAGAAAAGGGGGGATCTATTTTCCAAAACATCAGAGGGCTGGACAAGAAACAATGGTTGGAAAGTAATCGGAGAGAGAAGCAACCTTGAATTAAGGAGAAACTTCCTAACAGTGAAGACAATTAACCAGTGGGACAGCTTGCCTTCAGAAGCTGTGGTGCTCCATCACTGGAGGTCTTTAAGAAGAGACTGGACAGTCACTTGTCTAAAAAGGTAGCAAAGAATTGGACTGGAAGGCCTCCAACATCCCTTCCAGCTCTATTCTGAATTACCTGTATACATATAATATTTCTATCATTACTCACGGCTTAGACTGTGTAGTAAAAGCAGGTTAGAAAGTTCCTGCAGAGTCACAAACATTTAAGATTGGCTTTGCTATTCCTTATCTAATCAGGCTATCTTCCAGGTATCTTACCTGAAGCAAATGGAAGAGTTCCAAAGAGATAGATTGTCCTGGGCAATTTAGACCGAGGGAGAGAAAGAGTTTTATTTGTTGCGATCTATGACTGTTCTACACCCCACCAAAGCAGTATTGTATAACACTTTCCACCTCCTCCTTTCCCTAACACCATTTCTGTGTTTCTGTTTTCCACTTCATCTAAAATTATGCCTTTCATACCCAAAACTATTTCAGCAGCTGTAAGGACAAAGATAGCTTCCTCACTGACTGCATGACTATTATATTATGACATCATTTCTCTGTTCCTAAGGTTATGATTGCCTGCAGTTTCATTCACTGGACCTCTGTTGATTTTGTGAGGTATTCATATATATTGCTGGTCCATAGATGATGTGCCGTACGCTAAATAAATAAATGTTGACTTTACCATCAAACGGAAAATTTGGATATTTTTATGATGCTTACTGAACTGCACCTGTGGGCAAGGTCATGAATATAGGTGGAAGCTTAACAACGAGAGATTACACTGTCCACAAAAAATGCTGGTTGTTAAAGGGAAACTACAAATAAAACATATACAATAAAAAAATCAAAAACAAAGAGAGATCCTAAGGGAAATTTCCTGACAACGAGAGCAATTAATCAGTGGAACATCTTGCCTTCAGAAGTTGTGGGTTGTCAACACTGGACGCTTTTAGTACTGCCCTCTAACCACTGTGCCACCACAGTGTCGATTTTATCATGAAATGGAAAATTTGGAGACCTTTATGGCGGTTACTGAACTGCAGCTGAGGGCAAGACCAGCAACCAAGGATGGAAGCTTAGCAAAGAGAGATCCTAAGGAGAAATTTCCCAACAGCGTGAGCAATTAATCAGTGGAACATCTTCCCCTTCAGAAGTTGTGGGTGCTCCAACGCCGGAGCTGGCTGGGGAATTCTGGGTGTTGATGTCCACCCATCTTAAAGCGGCTTAGATTTCAAGACACCGTTCTATGGAAATAGTTACAATTAGAAAGACTGCAGGGTGTGATAAAAAAAAGTCCACACAGGACCATATAATTGAAGCTCCATCCATTTTTATATGAATTAGTACACCTAAAAATTTTTTTAAAGCTTTGATCCTGTTAGAAATAAGAAAATTCAAAAATAAAATGTAGGTGAATAGAATAGTATATTATAGTATTAAGAAGACAGTTGCTCTATAGAATTTACTATCTTGATGTAACCTGTAAATATATTTTCTAATACATTTACTCATTGTTAAACATGTACCTGCAATCTATTACATCCTCCTGTGTCAAGTAATGCCAGCCCTATGAATCGGTAGGTATCTCAAACTGTCAAGGCAATTCACATACACATTTGACATAACAAAAGAGCACTTAGGAGGATAATGTGAGAAGAAATAAACCATGGCCCTAACTTTCTTTAATCAATTGAAGTTAGATTTTGTTTTTAAAAACCTTTTACTTTGCATAGATGTTAGAAATGCATATAAGAAGAAGTGCTGAATGTAACGATATGTAACAAGTGTGGTGTTAGGAATAGATATTTCTTTGTTCTCAGATGGTTAGTAAAGGGGTCCTGCTGAAGGGACATTCTTTAATGCCAGGAAAGATAAGATGTGATGGGAGGTCATTGGGAGGTATCAAAGTAGATGATGGGGTCTCCATAAGGCGTCTCGGATTAGCTGTTCTTGGTCACTGGGTCGATGTAGGAGGGATGTGGCGGAGTGTCGGGATAGAAGAACTATAAAGTGTAATGGATTGAAATCTTAGCTGTGGGTCCTTGGCTCAAACTTCATGTCGAAGTCAGCTGAGATACCCCACTCTTTGCAAACAGCCTCACAAAATAAAATCTCTGTGTTTTCCAAGTTTTTTGTCATTTGGATTCATTTCCAACCATCCCACCCTATCAGGCAGCATCTTGGTTTGTTTGTTTTTTAACCACATACAATTGGGCATCCTTGCTTACGCTATTTTGCCTCGTTTAGCTGATTATCGGGACTTAGAGACCCTTAGTCCTATTTTTGTGTACAACATGCCACTTCAGAGCAGTTTTATGAAAATATTCATTCAATGTTTATGTGATCTTCAGAGGTGATTATCCCTCATAATTTCTATTATGGTTTTTTTTCTTATTTTATGCAATGGGGTGCTGTTTGTACCATGCTTGAAGAGTCCTACACACACACACACAAATCCACATTCACATATCACGGAGCAGAATGTTCCAGGAAGCAAAATTGTATTCAAAATATTCAAAGGACTTATTTTTACACACACATATAATAAATATATAATATAAATATATAAATATTTATAAATGCACCATTCTTTATATATAAATATATAAAGATGGTGCATTTTAAAGACGTGGTCCTTCCCCCATCATCTATTATCCCATCCAACCAATCTCGAATTATTAACTATTCTCTGTAATTAGATCTTCCCTTCCACGCCTCCCGGGCCAGCCCCTTCCCTTAATGGCGGCCCCCTCGCCGCCTTCACGCCCTTTCCTGGCAGACCACGTGATCCCCGTTTCGCAGCCATTGCATCAGCCGGCCCAAAACATCAAATCTCAGCATGCGGTGCGTAAATGCGGGCACTTTCCTTTTTTAAGATGATAGACAAGACTTGACACCAATCGCCACCCACCTTTCAGCCTCCAGGCCAATAGGACGTGCGAGCTAAAGAAAGGTCCGCCCTTTGACTCGGCTGCGTAGTGAGAGCGCCGCCGAAGCGACCTCGCGGGTTTGTGGGGAGCGGCGGGCGAAGGTAGGTAGGCTGGGGTCGTGTGAACGGGAAGAAATGAAATAAACACGTTTCTTCCATTCCGGCATCTCTTCTTGATTGTTTTCCAGGCTCAAAAGGCGGCGTCCTCCTCCTCCTCGGTGGTTCTTTCCTCCTCCCCCCCTTCCAGTCTACCCGGCACAACAGCCCTGCAAGGTAGGCTGGGCGGAGAAAAACCGGCTCTGAGTCCTCAAGGGCGCAATAAACGGGGTGACGAGACGGTTGCTTGTATGTTGTGTGCATGTTGGACGATGGAGCCTCCTTTGCATTTTTGCCCCTTGGCTAAACTAGCTTCCCGCCTGTAAAAAGGATCTGGGCTTAGGTTGCTGGCTTGGGGTGGACAGTTGCTTAAATACCCCATGCTGGGTGTGTGTGTGTGTGCATGTGTGTCCAGGCTTGTGTGTCTACAGAGCTGCTCAATCATCCAGGTCACGGATGTCCCAAAAGTTGTGCTTTTCCCCCAAAAAGATAAAATTGGACTTTCTTGGGTTTTTTATTTATTTATTTTGTCAAAAGCTTCCAATACAATAGAAATAAGAATAAGCACAAGTTTAAATATAAGAAATAGGAACTAATAATTGGGGACAATAGGAGCGCAACGTTGACCACTCTGTTGCTGAAATCACTCTTCCAGCAATCAAATTTGTTTGTTTTTTCCGCCCTCCTTTGAAAACATTTCACTTGTCATTCAAGAAGCTTCTTCGGTTCTCACTGACCGGTGGGGAAAGGAAAGACTTGAGTGTCACACCCTCACATCCTGGACATAAACTGTTTCAACTCCTACCCTCAAAACGACGCTTTAGGGCGCTGCACACAGAACAACTAGACACAAGGACAGTTTCCCACCAAACGCCATCACTCTGCTAAACAAATAATTCCCTCAACACTGTCCAGCTATTTACTAAGCGTGCATTACTATTACTATTAATCTTCTCATCACTCTTTATCACCCATCCTCTCCCACTTTTGACTGTATGACTGCAACTTTGTT